ATCCAGAGGGTGTTGTAATAATGAGGCAGGGCTGCAATATCAGCTCCAACAACACTCTGATCTGTTCCTTCCTTTCCACCCCCACCGCCACCAACCCAGCATAGGACTTAATTTCTACCCCAAGCCTAAACTATTTTAACACACTCTTAATTGGTCTCTCTGCTTCCTACACAAAGCTACAAGATTCATCTTTTTATAATACCACTTTGTGTCCCTACTCTTCTCAAAAATATTCACTGGCTCCCTACTATCTACAAAATAAGCCTTAATTCTAACACAAATATTATGTTCCAGACAACCTGAACTACATTTTCCTCTATATGAATTATACTTTCCACCTCCACTCCTTGCCTCATGGCATTTTCTGTGCCTTTAATGACCTCACTTCACATCTTTTTCTAGTAATCCTTCAAAGCCCAGCTCAAATGCTACTGACTCTATGATGCCTTATCATATTACCTCAGCTAGAAATAACCCCCCTTTCCTCTGACAACTCCTTTTGCATTTATCCTAAACTCCCTTGTATTGTACCCTATTTCTGTAGATCTTATCTTCCCTACTCAATCATAAGCTTCTAAAAGGCAAGGGACAGTATCTGCTAAAACTTTGTACACCACATGGTACCTTGTACAGTCAATACTCAATATTTTAACGAATGTACTGAATAAATGAATAAAAGAATTCCAGGGGGCACCTAGACAGTGGTGGTAACAGGGATTAACAATAACAAAAGTTATTGTACTCAATACAGTACACAGATATTATGTAATATATTGGGAATCAAAACCTTACAAATTTATATATCATAAGATATATGAGATATAGTCATCAGAATTTCATAGATGCCAAGAACAGGGGCAAAGGGTAATAATGTCACGAAAAGTATAACTTATGATCAACTGTATAATAAATATATCTCCCCTCTACCCTCCTCCCAAAAGATGTGAATAAAGTATATACCTGCAGTCACAAAGCTATAATACATGTTTAAGAAGTATAAAAATGGTGGTGCAGTGGATAGAGCACCAGCCCTGGATTCAGGAGGACCTGAGTTCAAATCTGACCTCAGACACATAACACTTATGTGTTAAGTGACCCTGGGCAAGTCACTTAACCCCACTGCCTAGCCAAAAAAAAAAAAATTAAGTAGAATGTAGGGCATGCTAAGCATTCACCCCAAAAACACTTTAATAATGTCTGCTTTATCACTTTTCATGGCAATACAAACATCTCATGCTTTTCTTGCTTTTCAGTTTTTCTACTTAATTATTAAATAAGATCCAAATCACAACACATTAACCATAGGGTTAAATATCCGTCTCTCAGCTCATTCCTTCAGAGAAAAATTAGATTTCCAGATTATTTTAACATGTGAAGAACTTGCCAAGAGATTCCCAGTGCCACAAGAGATGACCTCACTCATACAGTCCTGACCAGTATCTACCCAGTCCATACTGCACTAGGGCAAGAAAAAAAAGGGGGAAGGAAATGGCCTGGAGTTTCCACATAGGCACCAAAATACACTAAAAGTACATTGACTAATTTATTGGAGTTCTTATAGAAATAGTCATGTAAACAAAGAGAAATATGATGCTAAGTCCCTTAGACTTTTAAAAAGCCTCTGATAAAAAGTTAAATACCAAAGACTGTAACAAAAATTGAATCACCAGGGAACTGACTAGAGACAAGAAATATTAAGGATAAAAGGTATCTCTGGATGTCTAAGTGAGAAGGCCTTTTTTTAGGAATAAGTGCTAGGATTGGTCTCATTAAATATATTTTATTAATCACATGGAGAGCGTACAAAAACTCCCACATTTTCAGATGACACTAAACTTTGCAAAGTACGAAACTGCGAAACTAATGGGGACAGAATATAAGAAGATCTAATAAATCCAATCCAGGAAAGAAAAAAAAATACAAAGTATAAAACAAATACAAGATATGCACCTATAAACGACTGGAGGTATAAAACTGGAGGTATAAACAACTGGAAGTATAAAACAAAAACGACTGGAGTTTGAACTATTAGTCAAACACAGAAAAAGGGAATGGTTGTTATTTAAAGATATCATAATAGAGTAGAAAGCACAAGGGCCTTGAAATAATATTTGGCTCTGTTTCTAGTCATTTTAACTTGCAAGCAAATCAGATTCTCTGCTAGTGTCTCAGTTTCTTCATATGTTAAACAGGCCTAATACTAACAATGAAATTACAATTCTGGACAAAAAAAAAATAACAACAACAAACTACTCATTTAACACTGAGGCCTATTATGTATCTTTCTCACTACAACCCTTTTAGATTAGATAGGTGTCCCAATCTACCTGTTACTGTGAGGACCAAATAAGACAGTGCATACATGAAAGGATTTCTGTATACAACACAAAAATACACCGTTTCAATACTTCATCGGACCTGTGACCTCAACAACATGGCCAATCCCCCGAAAGATGGAGATCACAACTTCATGCCCCCTAATTCTACATGCCTCTTGTCCAGGTCCACAGGGTATCCAATGGGCTAGGTATTGCCAACCCAGGAAAAAGATGCATTTAGGATGATGTTAGCATTACTATTGTTCTCTGGGGATGTCCTCCCAGTAGATTGTAATCAAAAATGGAGAAGAGGAAGGATCATGGGGTCTTAAAGTTAGAACTGGAAGGGATCTCAGAAACAATCTGGTGCAGCCTCTCTTCATTTTAAAGATGAAGAAACTGAAATAAAAAGTTTGTAAAACAATTTACCTAAGGTCACAAAGATGATTAAGTGGCAGAGAAGCATGACTGAAATCTAGCTCTTCTTATTCAAGATTTAGGATTTTCCCTACTATATCCTGCTAACACTCTCCAAAATACTACATTAGACTTTAATAAAATTAAGGAATCTTCATCCTAGAAGGCAAAGGCTAAAAGGGAGCTGAACAGAAATCTGAATTATCATGAAAAATTTGGTAGGAGGGAACACAAAACTTGTTCACCAAAATGTCATATTAGGAGGACAGGGAGACCCTTTCAATTTGAACAGGGTGTATTTAGGACATATCAAGTACTAATTAATGGAGCAGGTTAAAAAATGGAACTCATTATTACCTCTACCACCCCCCCCTCCAAGATGTGGTACGGGCAGATAAATGGATTTTGAAATGTCAAGAAATTTATTAATAAGACTAAAAGCAGTTACTAAATGAAATGGATGTGCATATAGCTATATAAGGACACACAAATATAGATAAAATTACATATATACACCTAACCTTTAAAGCTGCATTCAAGGAGGATCCATCCTCCCACTGCAGATCCCTTGGACCTCTCTATAAGCAACAAATACCAACAATAGGCACCATGGATCTAACTGATTATGCAAAGTCTCAGGTTCCTTTTTGGAAATCAGAAACAATATGTAAAATCAATTCGGAGTTAATAAACTGTTTATTTAATGCATACCTGCCTACAATTCTCAATCTTTCATTGACACTCCACCAGGGGCATCCACATAGACTTTGCCTGGGTTTCTGAAATGCAATCTTTTATCATAACCAAAAACTGTTGAAGAGTGCCAAAGGGGGAGGAAAACACAGACCTAAATTAAACTAAATTAAACAGTGAGTTTAAGGTAAAATTAAGTATCCAAGGGGGAGGCAAAAGAGGGCAAAAATTCACCCTAATTATTCAATTATTCAAAATCGTGTAAAAAGGTCAATTAAAAAATCACAGAGTCATAAGAAATGAGGCCTGCAGTTTTGTTTTTCTTAATCTGCACTAACTTTGTCAATCTTCTCCTATTAGTAGCACTGCAGAAGTACTTAAAAAATGCAGGTGCACCAACTTAAAAAGTGACCCATCTACCTAAAGAATTCTTCCAAAGGCTGAAAATGACCATTGGAACATGCTCCAAAAGCATCCCAATCTTTCTACCTTTCCTTCATCCCTACACACACAAGCATACCAAATTTTGTGCTACCTTTCCTCCACCCTTATAAACTCTCCCCCCCCAATCTTTCTGCTACCTTTCCTCCACCCCATACACACACACACACCCCCAACCTTTCTACCTTTCCTCCACCCTTGTACACACACACACAAGCATCCCAATCTTGCTGCTACTTTTCCTCCACCCCATACACACAACCCCCAGTCTTTCTACCTTTCCTCCACCCGTGTACACACACACACAAGCATCGCAATCTTGCTGCTACCTTACCTCCACCCCATACACACACACACAAGCATCCCAATCTTGCTGCTACCTTTCCTCCACCCTTAATAGACACACACACACACACACACACCACCCCCACTTCATGAAAAAGGCTGCACCAGACGAGAGCAACTCAAAGCACTACTCAGAAACTTTTCTACTCCTCAAGAGCTGCAAACCCGTCCTATTTTGCTAGCCACCCAAATACCCTTCCCAAAAAATGTAATGTAACTTAGGATCCATTGAAAACTAGGGGTTCCTCCCCACCAAAAAATCCGTAAAGCAGAACTGCAAATAGTTTTAACTCCCGATTGAGAACGGAAGTCAAGTGGAGAGTCTCTTCCTCCAGCACATTAAGCAGCCCGTCTCACCCTAGTGTGAGTTTCTCTGGGGAGCCCAGTCAGTCACCTGCGGCCATGAGGAGGGCAAGCCCCGATCTGCAGGAGCTCCCGCACCCCCCTTCCGCCCTCCTCTCATTTAAAAGGGGGGAGGGTTTGCCCAAGTTTTCCAATGGCTCCTTCTCGTAACTTCGCAGTCCCTTCCTTCCTTCGGCCGCCCTTACAAAGCAGGGAAGGAAGGGCGGGGGTCGCGAGGGCCGGACCCGCAGCAGCCGAGCCCGCCGCCCGCCGCGGGGACGCGGGGCGCTGTCACCGCCGGGAGCGGGGGGAGGAACTTCCCGACTCTCGCATTGTCCACGCGCCTCAGGCGCCAGCCCGGGCGGGCCCCGCCAGCCCCGGAGGAAGTTGCGGCTGGGGCGGCGCGGCCCGTGCCCCCTCCCAGGTGAGCCCCGGCCGGCTTACCGCTCTTGGCGTCGCTCGAAGCGGCCGCGGCCGCCGCCGCCGCCGCCGCCGCCGCTCCCGCTCCAGCCGCCGAGCCCGCGCCGGGCGCCGCTCCTCCCGCTCCCGCCGCTCCCGCTCCGGCTCCCGCAGCTCCCGAGCCCGCCGCGGCTCCCGAGCCCGCCGCCGAGGCCAGGGCTCCCCCGCCGGCCGCGCCAGCCACGGCCGCCGCCGCCAGGGCCCCGGCTCCATTTTCCTGCTCGTCCCCGCTGCTGTTGGCGCGTTTGTTCTTGCGGCCGCCTTTACTGCTTTTGGGGTTGGGCATCTCGCGAGGATCCGGGGCCGCCGGGCTTCAGCGAAGGCGGCTCCCCCGGGGGCGGCTGTGCATGGCCCCCGCCCCACGCCCGGCGGCTGCCGCGGCCGCCCGCCCCTTCAGCAGCGCAGCGGAGAATGAAAGGCGCGGGCTGGGGTCCCGGTCTATTCATGCATCTCCCGCTCCATCTTTCGCTAGGCTCCCGTGCCCGCCCAGCTTCCCGGGCTCGGCGGCGCACTCGCAGGGCCAGCAGCAGCCGCGGCCACCGCCTGCTTCTGGGGCGCCAGGGAGACACTTGGGAGCCCGAGGGAAAAGGCGGGTCTCCAGCTTGTTTTGATTCTGCTGCTCCTACACGCTCTGTCCCCGCCCACCGCCCGACGACACCCGAGGAGTCCTGCTGGCCACGCCCACAGGGTGACCTCATGGGCGGCGGGCCCGCCCCTGTGGCGTCACGAGTGCCCCGCAAGAAGGGGCTCACCTTTTGGTGGAGTTCTGCGAGTTGGCTTTTGACAGACCCCACCCCCTGTGATGTCACTGAAGAGCCCAGTGCCGTCCTTCCTTAAGTGGTTCTGAATTCCCTTACAATGCTTACTGAAAACAGTAAAATTAGGGCATTAAAATACTGAGGAGTTGGAGACCTGGAGTCTATGTACTGGATTAGCCTAAATCAAACTTCTGTCAAGAGAAAATAGCTCAGGGGCAGCAAGGTGGTGCAGTGGGTAATGCTCCGGCCTTGGAGTCAGGAGGACCTGAGTTCAAATTCGACCTCAAGACACTTGGCGCCTACTAGCTGTGTGACCCCGGGCAAGTCACTTAACCCGGATTACCTCACCAAAAAAAAAAAGAGAGAGAGAGAGAAAAGCTCTAGCTAATCATCCTACAAAGACAAAAATGTTGAAAAACCAAGATGGTAGAAACAAAATTTAGGTAAGAGTAAAGGATTACAGATTTAGAGCTAGAAGGGACCTTAGAAGTCATCTAGTCCAGTCCCCTGTATACAGACTAGGAAGCCCAGGGAATTTGTGACTTGTCCAGAATCACAAAGAGCCAGTGGAAGAGCCAGGACTTAAACCCATTTCCTCTGACTCCAAAGGCTGCCTAATAGAAAAGAAAGGAAGTGAGAAGGGAACAAGCATTTTTTCACCGCCTGCTATGTGCCAGGCCCTGTGCTAAGAGCTTTACATATATATATCATTTGATCCTCACAGCAACCCAGGGAAGTAGTTCAAGTCCAACATCAGATACTTCCTAGCTGTGTGACCCCGGACAAGTCACTTAACCTGTTTGCCTCAGTTTCCCTATCTGCAAAATAGGGATAATAATAGCACTTACCTCCCACAGTTCTTGTGTAAAATAAGATAATAATTGTAAAGCGCTTAGCACAGTACCTGGCACATACTAAGGGCTATATAGATATTAGCTATTATTATTAAACTATTATTTATATAGTTTTAAAGTTTGAAGTGCTTTACATTTACTATTTCATTTAAATTTCACAACTCCATTAGGTAAGTGGTATTATCCCCATTTTACAGATGAGGAAACTGAGGTTGAGAAAGGTTATATGACTTGCCTAATATAGTCAGTATTTGTCTGAGTTAGAATTTGAACTCAGATTTTCCTGACTTCAAGCCTGGTGCTTTACTACACCATCTAGCTGCCTTCAATCAACTGATATAGAAAAGGCGGCCTCTTGTACAGTTTCATATTGCTACCATATATATATATATAGTCTTGACCTGACTCCCAACCCTATAGAAGTAAAAAGAGAACAGAAATTGCAGCCCTGTTCTAGTCTCTGCTTCTTCTTTACTAGTTTTGTGACTTGTCAGTGTTTCCTCATCTGTAAAATAAGGATGATAATATACACTGTACCTCACTAGCTTGTTGAATGGAAGGTGCTTTGTAAATCTAAAAGCACTAGGTAAATGTGACTTTATATTCTAATAAAAGTGAAGGATTCAGAAACATATTGGTAACTTTAGTCTTCTAAGACTTTTAGTTTTTAAAAAAAAAATCAAATGGTTCAATGGAAATTAAGAAGAAAAAAAGCACTCTCCTGGAGCATTCAAAAATTGAGGTAATGCAGCAGAAGGTGTAATATCATCTAAAGAGGTTCATTTATGTAGGTAGCTGTGGTACCTTCCAGAAATTCTCACAGCTACCACCTACCATTCACCCAAGACCTGAGATTGAAATGCTTCCTTGCAAACATGATTGTAATTGGTTCAAAGGGCACCAGCCATCTGAACTCCTTGTTATTTCTTGTAACTGAATAAACTATACATATCCTTATTCAAATGAACTTGAATAAAAAAAGAGGAAGGAGAAAAGCCAAGGGATCCCATTTCTGGTTCATTCTAGGTACTATATTATCAGCCTAAATCAAACTTTGTGAAGAGATAACAGATCTAGCTAATCATACTGCAAAGACAGAAATGCTGAAAAACAAGATGATAGAAACAAACTTTAAGTAGGAGTAAAGGACATCTGAGAAGCAGCATAGCTTAACAGATAAACAGCAAGTCTTAAGAGTCTATCATTCCCCGCCCCTCCTCCCCCATATCCAATCTGTTCCACCTTTGTAACATCTCCAACATATTCTTCTTTCTCTGAGGTTGCCACCAGCATAGTGCAGGCCCTCAAAAGCTCATGCTTGAGCTATTGCAATAGCCTGCTGGTGGTTCTTCCTGCTACAAATCTTTCCCCCACTCCAGTCCACCCTCCACTCTGCTATCAATCCATCTTAAAGCGCTGGTATAACCATGTCACCATTCTATTCAATAAACTCCAGTGGCTCCCCGTCACCTTCAAGATCAACTTAAAAATTCTCTGCCTCAATGACCTTCCTAAGCAGTCTTCTTTCCTGGCACCTGTTAACTTCCCTCCCACCCTGGGACTCTTCAATTCAGTACCACTGACCTGCTTGCTGCTCCTTGTAAAAGACATTCCATCTTCCAACTTTGGGAATTTTCTCTATCTCCCATGCTTGGAATTCTCTCCTTCACCACCTTTGCCTTCTGGTTTCCCTGGTTCCTTTCATGTTCTAGCTAAATTCGACATACCATGGGAAGCCTTTTTCTAGCCCTTTTAATTCGAGTGATTTTTCTCTGTTGTTTTCCATTTATTATACATGTATGTATATCTATATCTTTTTTTTGTACATAGTTGTTTTCATTTTGCATGGAGGCATGAACTCCAAAGCCTCCGTTTAAGGAGGAGGATTGGAATAGACATCTCATTTCTTACTTGGCTGCTCTACTTTGAGACTTCTCTGACTTCATTATGCTACAGCAAGCTCATCTTTGGGAAAACCTCATCCTCCTGCAAGATCAAATCAGCCTTAGCACTCATAACTCATCACTACCCTTTGCCCCCTCTGATTGGAGGGTAGAGCCACCAACTCGAAAGCACCATTCCCCACCACCACCATTGGGCCCCTTTCCCCAACCTTTCAGCTTCATTTTGTGTTTTGTGTTCTCTCTTTAGACTGTAACTCCTTGAGGGCAAGGACTTATCTATTTTTTTTAACCTGCATTTTTAATGCCAGCTCTTAGCATAGTTCCTGACACATATGCTTAATAAATGTTTATTGACAATTAACTGCCTTGTTTCTGAAAGCTCAAATGATAAGTGTGATCCTACAAGATATAAAAAGGAAAAATCATAAACCCTTACCATATAAGAAATCCCAGAAGGAACATTATCAGTCAGTAAAGCTTTATTAATCTGCCATAATTAATAAGTGACATTTACATCGGTTTTAAAGTTTGCAAAGCTTTTTAAATACATTCTCATTTGAGCCTGAAAACAACTCTGTGAAGTAGAGACCACAGATTTTATTATCTCTATCTTACATGCAAGACAGGAGGTATGGCATATTGGTAAGTTGTGGTCTGGGATCCAGAAAGAACTAGATCCAAATCCCACTTCTGACAAATTCTAGCTGAGTGCTGCTCACTCAAGTCACCTAATTCTCAATGTTCTAAACAGCTATCCAAGATCATATATGGCAGAGAAGGTAACAAACTGCAATTAGTTCAAGGAGTTTCCTATACCAACAAAATGATAAGTGCCAAAGAGGAGAGATGACAGAAAGACAGCCAGAGTGCTCCACTGATAGACTCGTTATGTCAGGAGAAACCAAAGAAGGCCTCTAGTGTATTAGATAGACCCCTTAGGCAAAATTATGGTAGGGCATGTGCAGAATGGGGAGGCTTATATGGATTACAATCTGCATCTTTGGAAAAAACATCCACACTGATTAATTAACATACTCATTTGAATACGAAGTGTTTTTATTCATGAATCTCTAATGTTCACTTACCAATTTGTAAGCTACATAAAAGTAGACCTATGTTTTATTTAATTTTTATATATCCTCCATCATGTAGTACAATGTCCCGTGTACAATGTCTTATACACTTAATAAATGGTTGTTGCATTGTAGAACCTTAAAAGCATAGGGTTTAGAGTTTGAAGTAGTATGAAATAAGGATTTCTTGAATAGGGCAATGACATAGGGCTCAAAGAAGGATTAGCCTACAAAGTAGATAAAAGGTAATCTAATAGGAAAAGGCAATAGCAGCTCAGAGGACCAGCAAAGGATGTGATTTGAGATGAGGAAGCCAGGGACATTGAAATAAGAAGCAAGAACATGTAATGTCTGGTGGGAAGAACCGCAGATTGGCTAGTATAGTGTAAGAAGCATGGAAAGGTAGGAAGGGCCAGGTTACAAAAGGCTTTAAAAACCAAATAGAAGATCTTGTGTTTGATTCTGGAGCTGATAGGGAGCCATTGGAGTTTATCAAGTAAGAGGGTAACAAGGTCAAGCCTGTGCTTTAATAGGAAAAGCACTTTAGCAGTTGAGTGAAGGATCAACCTGAGTGGGGAGAGACATGAAGTAGGGAAACCAATTAGGAGACCATTGAATTAGTCCAATCGAAAAGTAATGAGACTCTGAGCTAGAATGGTGGCTATATGAATGGTGTGAAGGGGACCTATACAAGAGATTTTGTGAATGTAGAAATGACAATATTGTGAATAAAGTACAAGATTTCATGGCAGAAT